TCAACTATCAATACTTGTTCCTTTTTAGCCTACACAATGCTGACGCGGCTACCCACCCGAACTACTGTGAATTTTTATTGTGTTGTATGTGATTGTAGTTTTTGCAGTACCCTTAACATGCCACATGGGGGCGATACAGGGAGATTTTACTGAATATAAAATTCAAGGTCAAGAAATCATTCTGTGCTTTGTAGTGGTGGTAACAAACCAACAGAACATTGGTTTCTCTGGCTCTGCAGCAGGGACCCTGTCAGCAGCAGGCTGTGGTGGGTACCCAGAAGGCAGGACGCCCTCTGCTGGACACATCAAGCGGCCAATGAACGCTTTCATGGTGTGGGCGAAAGACGAGCGGCGGCGCATTCTGCAGGCCTTCCCGGATATGCACAACTCCAGCATCAGCAAGATCCTAGGTGAGCCTTCTTGGCAGAACCACAAGAATGTTTTTCCAGTCAGAGCAATGAGATTGGTCAATTGAGGCACAAAATCTGAAATCCGATTTCTACCACTCGCGTCTTCCAGCTTGGTCCAGTTCCTTTCCGAGCCCAGGCTTCCTGGCCTGCAAACCCATGAAGGGTTAATGTAGAGTTACGATTATTCCAATCTAAAATTCTACTGAAAGAGTTACAGTCCAAATGCAAGGTGGCAGAACCTGTTCTGTGAAAGAAACCGATAACCTCACACTCAGAATAGCCCCGAGATGAGCAGAAACATTCAAAGAAACATTCTGATGAAATCAGAAACAGTGGTTCCATTCTGCAATTGTCCTCTCTCACGTCATGTTCCAATGAACTAGGACAGAAGTTTGAGCTCTGCACAATTTCGGCAGTCTCCAGCCCAAATCTTTTATCACCTTTTGATAATCCTCATGCTTAAGTGCACAAAAAACAGATGTATTCTTCTATTTTTCTTTGCTCAGTTTTCCAGAAATGGGAATTAAACATGAGAATAGAGTGCTGTTTCACAGGGGCAGTACAGTTTTACCTTAGGCTCAGGCTTAAATTTGTTACTAGGCTTGGAGTTTTTTTTAATTAGAGTATTATTTTGTGCACTTCTTTTTTCTGTACTTCCCTTCTACACTCCCACAGACTTGCACTTTGCTCTTTGATTTCTCTCTCTCTCTGCAAGGCCCTTCTGTGCTATCTTTGGCTATAGCCTCTGTCTCCCTCCCTAACAACATGCCGGTCCGCCCGCATTGTTCCCGCTTCTGCTCTCCCAGTGCTGCCTTCGGCGAGGTGGGCGTGTGAGCTCGTGCTTGCGTCAGCCTGTAAACGCTGGTTTATTTTAGGACCGACACCTGCTGCTCTCCGGCACAACAGGGTGCACAAGAGCATCACCCCTCCCCCTCCCACCTACACGCACAGATTGGGTGTCTCAGCACTGCCTTTCAGCTCTCCCCGTTCCTCTTCTTCCTGTTCCGGAACACTGACATTCCCTTCCATTCTACAGGGCTCCCAGGCAGTGGCACAGCTCAACCACATTAAATCCTCCCCATCCCCTCCCTTCCCGGGTTTTATAATTGGGAACATGGAGCTGCCTTCCGTCCACAGCCCCTCAGAAACTTGCTGCTACTTATTAACTGCTAAGCAGGGTTATGAGTTAAGGCTTCTGTTTCACCTGCATCAGAGCTGTAAGAAACGACACGCTGCTGTTCAGTCATTGAAGTCTGTTGGCAATACGGGCTAAAGTGCATACAGACTAATAACAGATTGCAAAACGAATGAAAGGACTACAATTGCTGATCATAACACGCAGGCTGCCTCTGTTCATTCATTTCCCTCCTAGCACTATGATTGCAGTAAGGCCCCAGCATGCCACAAACTACAGCAGGCAGCCCAGTCACTTCTTCACGCTGCGCGCAATATGTACGCTCTTTGAAAGGTGCTAATTAAAATAAATCTTGCTTGGAGTTCTCAATACGCTGTGCAGAGAAACCCCAACAGTGCACGCACACACACACAACAGCCTTGCCTACTATTTCCAGTTACTAGGTTGCCACTGATCTCAACCTGCCACCTTTTATAAAACTTTTAATGATTGCAGCAGGAATCCAGCCAGGCTGTGGACATCCCTACCGCTCCTGGATCTTGGATCCCGGAATGCATGGGACCGGTGCGGATCAGCGGTGTGGTGGGGGTGGGAGGGTGTTAGTGCATCAGGCCTGACTCAGGGGGGGCAGAGTGGGGACAGGCCCGCGCGGTGTTGCCAGGGAGACCTTCCAACAGTGCGCCTCCTGTGTGTCTCCCAGGCTCGCGCTGGAAAGCCATGTCCAACCAGGAGAAGCAGCCGTACTACGAGGAGCAGGCGCGGCTCAGCCGGCAGCACCTGGAGCGCTACCCGGACTACAAGTACAAGCCGCGGCCCAAGCGCACCTGCATTGTGGAGGGGCGGCGGCTGCGCGTCGGCGAGTACAAGGCCATGATGAAGAGCCGCAGGCAGGAGCAGCGAGGCGGCTACACAGGGAGGTGAGATCCTCTCTCGTCCACGGGGGGCGGGTGGGGGGTATTCATTAAATAAGCAAAGTCGTGACAAAGGTCCCCGAGAGGCCCGGTCCGAGTCCGTCTGTGATGTGCGCCCCTCGCTGCTGCATTGTGCCTGGTGCTTGCTGGGATAGGCTCCAGCCCGCCCATGACTCCAAACTGGAAGAAGGGGTAGGAGAATGGGCAGATGGTCTGGGGTGGCCCTGATGAGCTGGATGTGGATTGCTCAAGACAGCAGGAGGAGACGGCTCTCCCCGTCCTGTGGGCGGCTCGTTGGCATGCCATGCAAACACATCAATTACAGCACAAACGTGTAAACAGAAATGGTTTAAATTCTGATCGTGTGTCACGGGACACCTCAAAATGCAAATGCGATTAGAAATCCAAACCGTGCTCGTGTTTGCTTTTCTCTCTCTGTGAAGCTGAAAAGCGAAAGTGAAACACACGACGGCCGTTCCAAAGCAGGTCCCGATTTCGCTAGGTCTTCCTCCCTCTCGAACGGGCTCCGCTCCGCTGGCTTGACCCCTGTCTGTGCACGTCTGTGTGTTTCAGCCAGTCCGAGCAGCAGCTGCATCACTATTCCTCCGCGGAGCCACCGTACCCCAGCCCCCCCGTGTCCCTGAGCAGCCTGCCCATGCACCCTGCCCTGCTGGAGAGGTACCTACCCCGCACCCTGGAGCCACGCCCCTCTCAGCCCCGCGAGCGGGAGGGGAGAGTCCCTCCGCCACCGCCGCCGGCGGAGAGATACCCCTACAGCGAGGGGGAGGACAGCAACCCGGGGGAGCGCAGCGAGGGCGAGCTGGTGGTCCTCACTGACTGAGGCCCAGGGGCAGAGCCCTCCTCTGGGAGGCCAGCCAGGAGTCGTCAGTTTTAATTCTGCCTTTTTTTCTTAATTCTAAACCTCGATGACACTCTGGGTTTGAAGGATCTATACGTTTTTGAAATCTTAGGGGCTCAAGGGGTAAAACCCTCTGCTATTTTTAAAAACGGGGAACATAAACACAATGTTTGTGAACAGAATCCTCCCCTACGCTCTTAAAACACAAAGCAAGTCCCTGTCTCACCGTCAGGAGAGCTTTGCGGATTTCACTCCGAGACGTGGATGAACCAAGCTCAGAGCAGAGCAAAGGCGCTATTAGACCGGCTCTATTTATTTGCTTTATTTATTTTTTGTAAGGTTTCTACATGTTTGTGAATATAAAGATCAGAAGCTAAGTTTTCTGAATTAAGAGCTACATTCACAATATTTCATTAGATTACTTCAGAGACTTTCCCGGCGATTTACCTGAGAAAACACAAATGGCAACGCAGAAACATCGGGAAGATTGTAGATGAGAGGGGGGTTATTCAGCTCATGGGCCAATTGATCCATGGGTCTTGTCAAGCGCTCTTTGAACGTAGCCAAGGTATCCAATTTGAAAACAGAACTGGGTAGACTCCTATAACCCTTTGTATAGAGAAGCACCTATTTACTTTCCATTTGTGTAATAGTAATCACACAGACAATAATAGCAGTTCTTGTTCCATAAGTGACATTGTAGACTATAAGGTTAAAAGGCCTTAAGATCATCCAAGAACTATGCATTTTCACATGGATTTTCAAATAAACATTAAAATCGTAGTTTAAACACCTAAGGAAAATGCTTTGGATCCAGTGTACTAGGAGAATGTTGCTCTGCCATCTGTGCAGGTACTACATTTTCTCCATACAGCGCGTCACAATATGGTGGAGCAGATCTCGAGGATTAACACCTTGGAGATTCTGAATTTAGAAAGAGAGAAGTCTCAAATGTCCATCTTCCCTAGCAAACATGTAAAGGACTGTGCTGCTACAGCCTTTTCAATGAATTAGACAGCTAATCACCTCGTTTCTACAGGCCTCATAATGTTACTAACGCCTTTAATATCCATACATCTGTAACCTCTTGAAAACAAAATGACAGCCATTGAGTAAAGGAGTTCTCCAAGCAGATCTAGCCACCCTGGCAGACTTATCTGAAGCACAGTAAGTAAAGGCTTATGAAAAGAGTGAAGTATTGGTTAGGGATTCGGACATGTTCCAAGTTCAGCTGTTGGACCGTTGAAGAAAGCATGAGCCAAACAACAATAAGAATGAAGCAGAACACATAACCTTCCAAATACTACCCCCTGTTTGAACAGGAGACCTTCCGCAGGTGTTTGTGGGTGGGCAAGGGGAAAGGGATCAGGCTGTATGTCTTGGGTTTAACTGTACAGAAGTGAGGGTACCGGAAACAAAACTGCCATGGTGAAGAAGGAATTCATGGATACCAAAACCGGAAGATGCAATCAATCGCAAAACCCTAGCCTTCCTGACAGAAAAAAAGGAACAGGCTTACAAAAAGAGCCTGCAAGATGCACTGTGTGACAGTCTCCATTTCAAAAAGCTGTAGGTGTATAAGTGTGTATATAGAAAAACTACATACTTTCTATTAAGTCTGCTCTACCACGAGGTTTTGGCAAAATGTGAAATATCTTGAACAGATGATACATGATCTTATGGAAGGCAGATTTTTTTAAACGAATGGAAAAGTCTCCCAGTTAATTGTTGATTTTATATATATATACACACAGCCCAGCTTTGATCATGCACTTACACGATGTTTGTAGCTGTATTAAACAAAACTGTTACAATGATTTATTCTCGCCAAACCAGCACATGACGAACGTGCCTCTGCTCTGTTAACTGTGTACACGTGCTCGTGTCTGCTTCAGACCCGCGAGTCTGCAATCATTATTCACGGTGTTCATTACTTAGTTTGCATACTGAGATACATTTTAATAAATACGCAAATAGGTGGGGCATAACTGAAGCTGATCAGCGAGGACATATACATGTATATTAAACATGCACAGATCTCCTTTAAGGTTTGTGTACATCGAGGTTGTTGGCAGCCTTATATACAACTAGATTTCTTAAAGTCCAAAATAAAAATCCAAGTACCTCCGCCATTGGGTTAAATTGTATTTTTCTAAATCTATCGTATATTTATTTAAATTAAGTTTATTGTAACTTGCTTTGTATGTATTCTTTCCATTCATCCATGCTGTACTGTGACGTGTTTTTTGTGTTCGGGGAGAGAACTTGGTTTGCGGTCCTAGAAACTAAACCGCGGTGAACATCGCCACCTGCTGGTTCGCATTTTCAACTGCGAAAAGATGATAACACGGAGCCCCATATTGTCCTTTTCCCGTCATTTTGTTCAAGTCTGACAGTAGGGCCCCGGGGAAAAATACTTGGGGGGAGGGGGACTTCTAATGTTCTTAATGATCACTTTTCTAACACTGAAATATACTGAGATTACGTTTTAGGAAAGGAGTCTTCCTTCTTAACGCTGTTGGCCGGTCGGGCAGCACACACGGGCCTGTGTAAGACTGCTCTCAGTAATAAGACCGTCAAGTCGGAGCTCTCCCTAGGAATGCTGGAATTTTTTTAACGTCATTTTTTAAACATTTTTAAATTGAAAACTAATTTCAACAAATCCAAATGGGTCGGTTATTATTGCTATTGCTGTAAATACAGACATAGAAATATATTTTGTTTATAAGTGGTTGCGTAATTCAAGGTGTATATTTCATGTATTATTTACATGTTTTTGAGTGTTTTGTTTTTGAAGGCAATAAAGAATTCTTGCAAGCGGAAGTGAGTGTCGCGTGTTGGATTTTAGAAAGTTGGGGAGAGAGAAGCAGGAAGCGTGAGAAAGCAAAGTACCGCAGATGTCCTGATGCAACACCTTTTTTTATAAAACACTTATTTTGGAAGGCAGCGTTGAGGTCTGGTTTTTAAAGTTCTGGTACACGATTAACTATAGAAAATGCAATCAAGAACGTCAATCCCAAATCATAACCTTGCCTGTATCGGATATGTAAACCTTCAAAACACCGGGGACATTTAAAAATCTAACCTAAGATGAGCCTTTAACACAATATTTACATAATTCTCTGTCTTGGATGCACGAACAGTTGTATCCAGCTTGCGCAAAGTCACAAAACAAACAAGGCTACTAATTACTTTCGGTAGAGGAGGCCTGCTCAGATAGCAATCTAATTTAACGCACTATAAACCCCCCAGAGATGGTTCTAAATTCGGCGCTTTCTGATGCAATGGTTTATCTTCCACAACAGGTATTTTTTTTGTCCTTTTCTTTAACATCGTAGACAGCAAAAACATTAATCGAAACGGCACTTACCGCAGTGGGTCTTCACGGAGGGAGCCTTTGTGTTTTCCCCGCAACTTCGAAGCCGAACGCCTCCGGTGGGGAGCCATCTTCTCCACAAATAAAACTAATAAACACTTCTCTGTCGACCTCTTAGTGCTCTATCAAAGTACAGTAGTATCCAAAGACACCGAAATATACAAAAGCAGACACCGACCGAACCACCAACACAGAAGCCTTTGGGAAGAAGCAGGGGATCAAGTCTTTGTAAGTGATCGGGCAAGGAAGCGTGAACGAGACACTACACATTTCCAAGCAATAAGTAAAAACAATAGCTTTCCATGACCAAATTACCTCAAGGTTAATTTTAGCATATAACGACCACAGAGTTTTTGGTCACGCAAATGTTTCCTTGCCAGGATAACCATTACATTAAAACTGGGTTGCTATTGTGAAGTGTTGGTGGACAGGTTAGGAAGGCTTTTCCCCCTAAACCAGAATTTCCTAAATTAATCTCCAGGTATCATGACTAGTCAAACTCCTGACTGGCTCTTAAAGATCCAATGGCACCGTTCTTATCACTAGAAACGTTAACTCTAGCTGTCCTGATAACATCTGTCCTCCCTACAAATCCCTGTCAATTAAGACGGTGCTAGATTGCTTTTAGTTGGAAAGCAAGTTCCTGTGTGAATTTGCAATAACTGTTTCTTTGTAGATTGTGATCATACAGATTATGGACAATATACTATGTCCTAATTATATACTGAATTTACGAGTGATAAGATCACTGTTTTCTTAAACGAACAAATACCCACATCATCTTTGGTGATGTTGAAATGGAAACAATTTATCTGACAGGCCTTAATACAAAAACTAATCAACTAACTTTGAAATAAAGTGCATTTAATTAATATGTGGTTTTACGTACGGTGTTTTTCATTTTAGTTTTGGTTCGAAAATATAACACGTCAGAAAACGGAACACCTCACGCCAAGTTCGCTAAGCCTGAATGGTAGCATTTCCTGGGATAGAGTCTCCATGACAACAGGAAAACAGTTGGCGTATTTCCGGTGCGGTGAGTTAAAGGGGCCTTTCTTTGCTGTTTACTGATGAAGTAAGACTGAACAGGTGCAAGGAGGAAGCAATGTGATGTTTAATGTCCTTATCTAAACACAAACATGAGCAACTGTACATAAGTATACCATTTACAGCAGCTGTAAAGTGACTGAAAAACACGGACTGCTATTTTTTTTTTGTTTTAAACGCTTGTATTGAAATATTTGCGTCGCTGTATGCAAATTGTTAGCATTATTGGAAGTATCAGGAAAAGTTGATTTACCATGCTGAATAGCTGCTGTTTTGATGTAATTATATCTGAAATGCAGATTTATCAGGTATCCATTTTCTTACAGCTTCCTTCAATTAAGGGTCGTGGGGCTTGGGTGGGGTCAGTCCACACAAACAAAAACCCACACCAGGACCAATATTCACAGAATCAGAACCAGTGTGTCTTTGGACTGTGGGAGGATACCAGAGTACCCAGGGGAAACCCCTGTGAGCATGGAAAGAACATACCAACTCCACACCGATAGCACCCCAGGTTCAGATTTGACCCTGGAACCCCAGTGCTGCACCACAGCACTGCTAACCACTACCACCCAACCAACCCACTAACTCTTAAAACATAGTAATTTATTTATATCAACCAAGGTCATGCACTGTGCATACAGCTATTTTATTGTTTTATACATGTAATATTCAATTACATTGTGTTTTGGGTGTTTTACATGCAATACCCTCATAGATCTCAGTTACAAATACTATACATACCTGGAAAAAATGTCTACTTTAACTACCTTTGCATAATTTTATAAATGGTTTCAACTTTGAAAACCTTAATTGATCCCCCCCAGTTTTATGTAATCTACCGTCCACAATCAGTTTAATGTCAGGACTTAGAATAAACTGAGAATTATAACATAGGAGGATATGAAAAGACTGCACAGAACAGTAAAGCATTTGGTCAATCTATATTGGTCGTTTGGTACTTACTGATCTGAGAATCTTTTTCACTTCCTGAAGAACGCCATTCGATAATCAGATTCAACAAATGGCTAACTTATTCTGGACTCCTACAACCTTTTGTAAAAATAAATATTGCCTCCTTTTATTTTGTTATTCCTACATACTTAATAAACAAACAGGACGTCATAAACACGTTTTTCACAACATATTGTTTTGTACCGAACAAAGTACATTTTTAATAATTATTTTCTACTATGTTTGTCTGGTTCTGATTTGTTGTTCTGTTGTTGGAGAAACTGTAATGCAAAGTAAACTCCATTGAGAAAAGTATGTTTTGTACAAATACAACATGCCTGCAACACTGTCCATGCTATAGGCCAGGAATTTTTCTATAATGGTCAAGGGCTGTGTGCAAAAATAGTTTTTTCATTCACAGCACCCCAGCAGTTTATGTCTGGAACTGCATGGGGACAGCTGTGTGACAATAAATCTAGAATCCAAGACCTCAGAAATGGCCTTGCTCTGGCTGTGTAGATGTACATACATGTATATTATAAACACACCAGCCCCCTAACATGGAGAGGGAGATATGATCAGTGTTGCTCCTTACCGAGGACACCTCTTATCCTCCACTACAAAGCTACATACCTCCAGTCCTGTAGGGCCACATTCCAGTAGGTCTTACAAGTCTCCTAACACCCCCAGCACCTGTAGACCTGAGGCAAAGGTGTTACCCTGGTCCAGTTAAGCTAATAATGAGATCAATTATGAGCCGAGGTGGAGGACGACCTGCAGACACTGTAGCCTTCCAGGACTGGATCTGTGAGCCCCTGGTCTAGTGCACTGGTCTCATGCTGGGGAGCCACAGTCCTGGGAGTTGTAAATACCCGTGGAACAGAGGACTGGAGAGAACATTATCATGTGTGACTCTGGCTCTACAGGATCGGAGTAGTGTTGACTAAGTTATTCCTACTGAACATACAGATACATATATCATTTAGAATTTATCACATTCCCTTTCAGTAACTGAAAACTCAATATGAAAACACCACGGCGCCTCTTGACTTCCTTTTTAATATAAATATTTACTAACAGTTGTAAAATTATTCTCCAAGAAAACACATACAGAGCAGTAAATTTGTCACTGTACATGATCGAATGATGTCTTTTCCCCATAACAATATTATTACAGTATTTACACCCCCAGCCTGCTTCCAGCCCTTAACGCCATCCCAGCACCCCACAACACGCAAGCAGGCATGAGGATCCCCTGGTGCCTCACAGAGCTCCCCCATCAAATATGAACATGCTTGCACCCCCTGCATCAGATCCCACACAGAGCTGAAGCATCATGTGTCACAACCATTATTAAAAATAAGAATCAAAGGCTGTCTGTACAGTGTTTGAGCTCAGGTCAGTTTAGTACATTCTCAGTGTTAATCCTTCCAACCCTGACTCCACTCTGTCACGACGTTAGCGGTTTGGTCTCCAATATTAGAAAATGAACAGCAGAAAAGTTATTCCACGTGATTTAAAGTATCAGACATGTTGGAAATGGAAAAGAACCATGGCCCCTCTCTTCAATAACTGTTACTGATTTTTTTTTGTTTTCCTATGCAGTGTATTAGAAGTTCAAGTCCTGTACGCCCATCTACTCTGCATCCCGTCATGTTCCTGGAACCAACTCCCATATCCAAATTGGGCTTGTCCCACATCACTGCTGCTTTTTTTTTCCC